GGTAAGAATATTTTGAACTATGCTGGGGATCTGTGGGCGAAGTTGTACTGCTGGGAAACAGGGATGAAACAGCCGCAGTAAGGTGTTTCCCTCAGATGACCAGCATGCCAGCCAGCTATGCTGTCTCTCCACTCTGGAGGGAGGAGGTTAGAAAAGGTCAACCCCAACAATTGTACATCCCGACTTAACCTACGGTGGTCCGTAACCGGTGGTAAATTTACTAATACGGAACGTATCCAAGAAACCGGCCACGTGTAACCGCCTGACCTCAAGCAGTTGTCCCCTGTGCTCTGCGGTCAATCAATACTAACCCTCTTTCAATTTCAAGTACCCGCAGATCCAGTCAACTTCCACAGTGTGGGCAGCTAAGAAGTAACAATCGCCCACACACTTCCAAGACAGACAAATACTCTCCAGCGATGGCATTGGCTGGTGCCAGTCGCACTAAAATGGCGAATTTGTGGGTAGCAGTTGGAATTTATCGGTTGGCCACCATTAAGTCTGGTCCATTGAGTGGCTGAATGGTCTACGAACTCGCCGAGTTGTAACCAGAAGTACCTGGTTTTGAACCCCAGTGGGTCGGGTGTGCACTTCTACAGAGGCCTAAACTAGAATGATACGGCTATCCAGTACTGCCGGAGTGTCCGATGACTATTTAACTGATCTCACCTTATGTTCAAGCCTGAAAACTAATCAACCTGTCTTTGCAAACTGACACTTGATAGTCAGAGTAGACTGATTATATTAGAAGTCAGGTAGGCAACAGATAGATGTGTCTCAAAGCATAACGAGATTTTTTTTATTAAACTGACGATTAAAATCAGTCCTACTTAATTCCTCCTTTAGAGTGAGTGTATCTGCGCCACTGGTAACAATTTTGAGTCATGTTGTAACTACGGAAGACAAGAGCCAGGCTACAGATCGTTTATTGAGAAAATCAACACATATTTATAGATTTTTATGTACATTATTATTAGCCTTAGTGTTACCGGAGAAGTAACGTCTTCTGATTGCTTGTTTCCTTGCTCAAGGTTATTCTGTCAACTTTTTCTGGCCGTTTCTCAGAAAGTTAAGCCATGTATATCTGCGAATCGTATTTGCACACCTTAACTCCGCTGTGATTGGTTGGTGAGTTCCTCAAGGTTAAGCTTCGTAATTGTTTTTTTCTCATGACCCCGATTCAGGACGTAACATTGACGTAAATTGCTGTCTGCATTTTTTTGGCTTGCAGCCAGATCTCACCGCGCTCATCCTCACGTCAAAGACTTTCGACTGAAGTTGCTTCGATCTTCGTGGTGCTGGTGGCTTTGTTAGTTTGTATTGCTGTTTCGAATTCCGGAGCTCGCTGACGTTCCCGCGCTACTCTTTGTTTGCATTTCTGATCATATATACACGACCCCCTTCCACATTGACCATGTATTGTTCTTCCCGATTTGGAAACTGTTTGTGTTAACCCTGCGCGTATTCATCGGTGTTTCGCCTCACACTTTCATATGCTACCTTCGCTTGACCTCCCATAAGCGTTTCAAGCGACAGCCTCATCACTGACGGATCTTGAACGTCAATCAATTGCACAACAGCCTCGAAGTCCTGCCCAAAGATCCATATGTCTCCATCAAAAACTGCAGGGTATAGGCTTTCCGTTTGTCGGCAGGCAGCCACACCAAATGCAACGATAGAAGACAAGGGCCAGGAAACAGATCGTTTATTGTGAATTTTAATAGATATTTACAGATTTTTATGTACATTATTGTCAGCGGAGAAGCAACCTCTTCTGTTTGGTTGTTTCCTTGCTCGAGGTTATTCTGTACTGCTTGTGACAGTTTCTCAGAAATTTAAGCCATGTATATCTGCAAATCTTATTTGCACACGCCAAGTCTATTGTGATTGGTTGGTGAGTTCCTCAAGGTTAAACTTTGTTATTGTCTTTTTCTCATGCCCCCGATTCGGGACGTGACGATTGACGTAAATTGTTATCTGCAGTTTTTGGCTTGTTCGCAGCCAGCTCTCACCACAACATCACCAATTATCCCTACCTCTTGGTTCTTCGATTCCCGGGGACCCCAAACAGACAGCAGTCTACACCTCTCTATGTGTGGCTGGCTTTAACCACTCCTAGCTATTTTTCAACTTAATCTTATATCAAGTAAAATTGAGCAACGAGGAAGGCGATGACCGGGTGTACGCACGTACACACGTCTTAGTCGTCTCAATCGATGTAGCCTCACAAACATAAAAAATGATCCTCAGAACTGCTAGAAAGTATAATATTGGAATAAGCAGTAACATCTCCTGAGTTCAGTTGATTTTTTTGGCGATGCACATCTACCCTGAGACCCACAGACATTTGCCTTGAAACAAAAACAATGTGATTGATTCTGAGTGTATGTTTCGGCGTATTGTAGGATTCACCAACTGGATGTTCTTGTCTCTCCAGTGTTTTTTTTTCATCGTCACATTGAGATTCGAGCATCGGTGATACAGTGGTAGACTGTTCGCCAACCACGCCTCATGTGGTTCGGGGTTCGATCTCCGGCCACAGACTCACTCCCTTACCTCGTCAAGGGAAGGTTGGACATGAGGCTGGCTAGCAACCCCATCCCGCAAAAATAGTAGAACACCACTGCTACAGAAACTTCTAGCTTGAAGCCCTATGTTCCACTGAGGACGTAAAGGAATAAATAAAAATTGAGATTTGAACCCCATACCCTTCGGTCTAAGCGTCAAAGATAGTAAAAGTATAAAAATTTAAGAAACACTTGAGTAGATTTTTACACGAATTTTTATGGGTTAGTGAACTGTCAAGATGGAACCTCAGGAATGGAGCATGGTGTTTATTCATCCCCTAAGCTGAAATCCAGCCGCAAGTGAATGTGTAAGAAGGAGTAATCAGTCGACGAAGTTGTGAAGTTACATGGACTGAGACGATGGTTAGGACATGGGTTATGCATGCCTGACTAGCCATCACCTCCCTCGACGGGCAATGTTAGCTAACATAGGGTCAAGTTGAAAAAGAGCCAGTGATGGTCAAAGCAAAACATGGCCTCATCAGTCAGTCAAATCCACAAAAGTTAGTTAAAGCCACTTAGGAAGGTGTAGACTTCCTGATTGGCTGGTTGGGGCCCTGGGGACAGTAGACACCATTGATGGCTAGAGACAACTGGTGATATGACTGGCTCAAAATCGTTCTCAATGGCTGGCGCAGATACATCCACTCCGTGCAACTTATAATATTCAATAAAACTATATTGTTTTTTGATATTACTATTCTTTTTGCGTCTACTGTCTCTATTTTGCGTTTCTTTTTTACTTTCTTCTCTTGCTCTGCGTGCTACATAGAGGGAGTGTGGTGACTCGAACTGCTGCATATCGGTGCAAAGTAGTTCTTTGATGAAACCAGTCAGTCAGTCAGCATGTTAATTCATTTCGTGATGATGCCAGTGCATTTATCAGGGTTGGTCAAAGCCAAGTCTTTATTCCTTAAAATCTCACATAGTTGCTTTCTGTGCTAGGCTAAAATCAATCGTTTTACATTTGGTTTTGTATTGATATACTGGTGGCAACTATTCAACACTGTAGACCTGAATTGTTCATATGATTTGTTTAACACTGGGAGACGATCTTTTGTCTGCTGGACCAGTGCTTCAAACTGGTTACTCGAATCTGTCGAAATATCACAGAATTTTGGACCCAACAACATTGCGTGCAATCGGATAGGAAGGAGTTAATGATATACTAATATAGTTGAAAAGGTATTTCTCTGATGTGGCAGGAAAACATGAATAAGTGTCAGCAGCTTTAAAAACTATTTGCAAGTTTCACGTTTACGTCTTCACTACTATCCAATTGACTTGGGAAAAGAGGTGGAGCCAGCACAAAATTGATAATAGAAAACTAAGTACAACGGGAATGTCCCGCTGAGGGCCTATTTTTCCACTCGTAATTTCAGCTAATCAGGGCGTTTAACTCTCACCTATATTGGATTTCATAAAATTCAAAGGTCAGTTCACTAATCACCACGACAAGAGTTTTCAGTTACATAGTAAAATGGAGTGTAGCTCACTGTCACCAACAGCCTAAACTTTGACAACTACAAATAATTGTTCCACATGTTTTCGCAGCCTTTCCTTCTGAACACGTTGAGCAGCAATTTTCCAATTTTTGTCATACGATTCGCTCCTGTCGCTCAAATGTAAGATGATACTGTGGTGAGAGATGGTTGCTAGCCAAATTGGTTGACAGTAATTGAGGTCAATGTTAGTCATGTGAGAACAAGGTCAAGATGGACAGGCGGATACAGTTAACATATAGATGAACTGACACAGCCACAAGAGATGCAAGGTTAACTTTGTGTGAGAAACAACCAATCAACAGACTGTAATTTCTACTAACATTAACCTACAATAATGTACATCAAAATCTATAAATACGTGTTGATTTTCCTTAATAAACGTTCTGTTGCCTGGCCCTTGTCTTCTGTTGTTACAATACTACAGAACTGGTCTACACTGACTTCCAACTTAGAGATAAGCAGTGAATTAGTGCTAGAGCGTGTTGACCATTTCACTTATTTGGGAGGTTGCATCAGCCAGCCCGCTAGCGGGTTGATTGTTGACGAAATCTGAGAAGAGACACAGAAGGCTCGTTTGGCATTTGCCGCTAACTTACGCTATCTCTGACTTAATAGACCTGATATCCGGCTGGCTATCGATCAAAGGACGTGTGTATACTGCATAGCAGCAGCAGCAGTTCGCATCGTCCTCCTCTATGGTTGGCTGTGAGTGAGAAATGGCCATTGAAAGTGGAAGATATGGGAAGCCTGGCTAGCTGGCTTTGATCGTAGGTGCCTGTGTTCTATCTCCCGTGTGTTAATTGAGATAATAAAGTGTCGAAGAAAATTTTCTTCGCTAAATTGATATTTGAATTTTAAATTTGTAGAAATTTGACTATCTTCTTTATTCTCTTCTCTTCTCTATCTATCCATGCATTCATAAAATTAGATATCTGAGTTACCGACGCCTTCTTTTATGCTGAAAAAACTACGTGATTTAAATCTTGGTACAATGAAAAATGTTTGTATTGTTCAGCAGAACTGTCCAGTGCATAAGGCGCTACAGCATTTTATTGATCGTGGAGTTTCAGCGCTGCCTGTCGTCGATCAAGATGGACAACTCGTGGATATCTATGCAAAATTTGATGTCATTGTAAGTGTATTGGCACAGTTTTTTTTTGTTGTTTTTGGTGGTGGTGGTGTTGTGTGGTTTCCTTCATATATACCTCTTTGTAGATTTTGTGTTTTCACGGTTTTTGGTTCATTACTTTGTCTAACTGACTGATTTTAACGTGGAAATAAACTTTGCACAGATATGCGGCATTTCGAGTCGTAACACTTCACTTAGCACAGAATACCAGAGAAGAAAGTAAAAAGAAATGCAAAATAGAGGCAGTAAATACAGATATGAGGCAAAAAAACAGTAATATCGAAGAACAATATAATAATTATAATAATAATTTGCTTTATTCCAAAACAGTTACTGTGATTCAGAAAGGAATTCTCAGCATTTTTACTACAGTATTGCATCCAGTTAGTACATTATCAATAAATTAAATTCTACATAGATTAAGAAAATCTCAGTTCATTATGACAACAATATATTGACACAGTGGTTAGGATTCTCGCCGACCAAGCACATGGTTCGGGGTTCGATCCCCTGCCGACGCACACCCGATATCTATGGTCGGCCTGCAAAATTTGTGCTACAGATATCCATGCTGAAAATTCCATACTTGTACTGAAAATACGGTGTGGCATCAAGCTGTAAATCCAAAAAAAATATAAATGTAGGTAGCAAAGCCAAAGTTGAGCAGTGTTTGAAGGTGTTAGAAAAGTAGGTGCTATCATATTTACTGGCGTAAGCGGAAGAAAGAAACAAAGCAGCACATAACAGAAAAAAGAGGGAGAGAAGAGGAAAAGAAAGAAAGAAAATGTTGTACCTATAAATGATATGAGTTGGAAGGATGAGGTCCAGTTGTTCTACTGACTATTTAATGAATTATAGGTGTCACGCCTAATGCTTTCTTTATCACACAGAACACGAGCTAAGTAGGGTATGGTTGAGTTTTTGTACTTGCTAGTGCGAGCATATTGTTTTCTATATATAGACTTCTGGTTTTGCCTGATGAGATGCAAGAGGAGAGTTTTGAATGAAGAGGGTGGTGTGAGTTAGACAGAATGCATTTAGCGCATTTTTCATATGAGTCCATGTGAATGTTAACAAGCTGGTTAGGTGGCACGTTGCTTACCCTGCTGACAACCTTTAACATCCTGCGTAATAAGATATAGTCTTTCTTCAGTAGCCCGGGAAAAACTAAGGGGGAACAATAGAATAATAGGCAGGATGAAAGAGTTCACGAATCGTAAGAGTAAGGGTTGGGTTATACCAGAATGTCTTAACTTCTTGATGTAGAAGGTAAGACGGAATATTTTCTTAGAAATCATCAAGATATGAGACGACCAGGAAAGATCAGCAGATAGAATGACGCCAAGATATTTAATTTCCGACTTGGTCTCTATTTGAGTGCCATCTATTTTGCACCCCTCGTGAGTGCTAACCAGTTTGTTTAGGTCAGATTTATGCCTAAAGGTGAAATTGACTGTTTGGCATTTAGAGGGATTTAAGGTAAGACCGTTTTCCTTGGACTACTGGCTGATTTCTGACGGAAAGCCATTTAGTTTAATGCAGTCACTTTGACATTTGACAAGCAAAGATACAGTCAGTTCGTCAGCATATTTGACAAAATTAATGTCATTTGAAGATGGTAAGTCATGTAGAAAGAAAGAAAAGAGAATTGGGGAGAGTACAGCACCTTGGGGGACACCAGCTTCAGTGAGCACAGACATCTAGGTACAGATGTCTCTTGCTAAATATAGTTTTATTGGGTATTATAAGTCACAAGGAGTAGATGCATCTGCGCCAGCCATTGAGAACGATTTTGAGCCAGTCATATCATCAATTATCTTCTGCCTTCATTGGTTTTCACCGTCCCGAGGACCCCAACCAGCCAGTCAGGAAGTCCACACCTTTCTACGTGGCTGGCTGACTGGCTATAACTAACCGTTGTGGATTTGATTGACTGATGAAGCCATGTTTTGGTTTGATCACCACTGGCTCTTTTCCAACCTTATCTATCCTATGTCAGCTAAATAAACTCGAAGTCGTGCACATCTGTGCAAAGTAGTTCTCTGTTGAAACCAGTCACTGAGTCAGTGATTCGGTGAGTTGAAATATTACTATGACTCACTGAAATCTACACCGATATACTGACCCATGGGACTGGATAGAGAAAGCTGAGAGTTGATCAGCCTATACTATGATATGGCGCAATGGGATGAAGGATATGTTGTGTTTTTTCTAGCATCTACTGGTACATCATGACTCGCTGGATGGGTTCCGAGGGATAATTTGAATCAATGGCTTGAGACGTCCATGTGATATGGCGAAGAATCGTAATCAATGCAGAACATGCTGCCATATCCTCCATTCTTCTTCTGCCTTCTCTACCCTTTCTGAAGGTGACATGAAGTAATGACTCGTCTTCCAAAGTAATTTTCACGAGTATGCTTACTTGCCTTCTGGATGACCTCCCTGATTTATTCCATGTCTTATTTTCTTTAAATATTGTTATCTTTGTTATTTGTTAGTGTAGCAAAAATATTCATTCAGACATCTATGAAACACAAAATAATCGAGCAAAGAATATTCTTTTCGATAAATTAAGGATAATAAGGAACTGTATAGACAAATCGACGGGGTGGCAATGGGGTCACCACTAGGACCCATTCTAGCCGACATTTCCTTGCGAAACTAGAAAATGGGTCTTTGAAGGATGTTATTAATGAACTCGAATTTTATTGTCGGTATATGGATGATACGTTTTTGATTATGAAGAACGAAAAGGAAGCAAAGAACATCCTGTCTTGACGAGGAGCTTAACAATATTAAACGGTTGCTAAGTGAGAATGGTTATCCCGAAAAGTTTATTGATAAGAATCTGAATCTGAAACCAACAGTTCCAAAAAAGGCCTTATTCTTAAAGATGCAGTTCTTAGGAGACAGCACCAGTGAGATACAAACAGAGCGCCTAAGAAATGTGGTAAAAAGAGCATTCCCTGCTGCTCAATTACGCTGTATCTTTAAAACCACTCCTCTTCTGAGTTCGGGAATAAAAGATAAACTGCCTAATTTTGCCTCTTCCATGTGTATATACCGATTTAACTGCTCCTGTGGAGCCAGTTACATAGGCCGTACTATTAGGCGTGTTTCTCGTCGAATTTCCGAACATCAACCTTCACAGTGGTTAAGTAAAGGACAAACAAAATCTATTCACATAGTGCTATTCTATCTCATCTTGTGGATACAGAACACAAGATTGACGTTATTCATGCTTTCAGGGTCATTTACCGCATACCTACGAATCTCAATTTTGCTTTAAGATTTCGACTACTAAACATTGCTGAGGCTGGCTGTTGGGATCCACATTAAGATGTCTAATTTGTGCATCTAAAAGAAGCTAGTTCACACATTATCCTTACCTTGGTCATCTAGGTTTGAAAGATCCTCAATTTTTGTAGAAATCTCCCTAATTTTAGTTGATATTCTATTCGCTGTTATATCTTTATTATTATTATTATTATTATTATTATTATTATTATTATTATTATTATTTAAGCATCTTTAATGAACTGTAATTCCATTGTGATCTTACTTAACAAATCGATATTATTTTAAAAAAAGCACTAATATTGTTATTGACTACTAATCTAGAATATTCTGTGTATATAAACAGATATGTGTAATTGTAGAGCCCGAAGAGAAATTTATCGAAAAGAATATTCTTTGCTTGATTATTTTGTGTTTTATATTTGTAAGTGTAGCGCATCTCTCTTGGTGCGCTTTAATCCGGAACAGTGTTTTGTATGATTTACAGAATCTTCAATGGAGTTTATTGCATAATGTTTCCTCTTACTCCATGATCTTCAAATAAAAGATTAATTGACAGTGTGACACATTTCTATATGATCTGAAGCGCACATCAGCCTATCATGATGACATCTCTTCTTTGTCTCCTACGAAAAACACACGGTGATATTTTGTTGAATGTGCCAATTATAAAAAGTTCAGAGGTATATTTTGTGAAGCAAGGACACCACTGAGGAACGGTCATCTCATGTATCGGGATAAGCTGCCATCATCCATCGAGGATAATGCTTCTTCTCACGTGTTTAGTAGAAACTAGCCAATCAGTAGGTTGTGAATGTTTGAGATACTCGTCAGAGTGAACAATACTGCAAGAGGTCATATTTTTAACAGGATTTAAACAAACTAAATAGGGGAAATTATATGCAAACTAGTGCGTCGGTGGCATAGCGGTAAGGACGCTCGCCGACCATGCACATGGTCTGGGGTTCGATCCCCGGCCGGCGCACTCCTTTACCTCGCTAAGCCAGAATTAAAAGCTGGTGAAGAGGAAAGGTTGGTCATGAGACTAGCAACCGCATCCTGTAAAAATTAAACACTGCTACAGAAACTTCAAGCTAGATGCTTGAAGCCCTATGTTCCACTGGGAAAGTGAAGGAATAAAAAAAATATGCGAATTATATTGATGGAGGTTGTTTTCGGTAGCCCAAGTTTTAGGCAGACTGTCATGGCAATACCATATTAGTTTGTTTATTAGATGTATCACACAGTCAAGAAACAGTATCACTTACTGGTTGACAAAGCTTCGAACAAAATTTATTGTTCATAATCACATCTTCAATTGTAACCACACTCGAAAATTGAGTTTTATAGTTTCCTTTGTTCTCTCCTATTTGTCGTCGTACGGGTAGTAGTAGAATTTTCCAGATGTCCAGCTGGACAGAAGTTGAGTCATTCCTATTGCACATGCTTGCAGTTGATTCGATAAACAAAGCTTCCGTTATCAATCTCTTCCTCCATTCACCCTGGTACATTAATAATAATAATAATAATTTGTATGTCGTATAAACGGGTAAGTTTACAAGAAGTGAATACCATTTTTACAGGCACGATCAGTTATGTTATAAATTACGATCCTGAAGTATCATAAATTAATACTTTTTCAAAAGTTTAAAATGTTCACTTATTGTACAAGCAATCAGAACAGGTTCTTATGAATGTTAAATTGTAAACCGTTTACTAAGGTCACCATCAAAGTTGAGCGACAACTCAAACTTCGTTCTGTTCTTGCTGATAGTTATGGTCGATCAGTGAAACGCATATATTTGGGTAAGTGCTATACCGCCACTTGAGTGAACGCTATTTCAGGAAGAGAAGAACGTACTGGGAAGCTACAAATTGCATAAAATATAATTATGGATTATACATCGTTGGAAGTACATTTACAAGATATTTACAAGAAGGAGTTGGAGACTCCTTGGAACGATAGTGTACATTTGCAATGTTTAAAGCTAACCATATTGGTCTAAGCATGGAAACTATGACGTTTTCAATGAAAATATAGCTTTGTCCAAACATTGGTGTTGTTGTGTTTTTAATCAAAGCAACCAGACTTCGAGCAAGCAACAAATATGAACAAAGAGCAAGTTTTAGCTTTAATAATGGCCTAGGTAGTTAAGATCAGATAGAGTATAATAGTGCGTAAGTAAAAAGATTTAAAACTGTCATCCTACCCCATCCATCCTATTGTATGGTTGTGTTGTGTAATTACATGTAATGAGAGCTATAGCTGCTGAACTAATCTCTAGATTTTATATCTTAATCGGGTCAACTAATCTAGATTTTCCTGCTAGGCTAGTTTGACTGACTGCCCCTCTTCTATTACTTTGACCTATGCATTTGACCTGACAATCACTGCAGGCAGGGTATTAGATAAACTAAACTGTTTTCTTTAATTGGCTCCACAGGATTGATCCCGTAACCGACAAAGCTTGTTTCTAATTGAGTTCGTGGGTAGTTTGAATGCCAGCCACTTTTATTCCTGCCAACATTGTTAAGAATTCTGAGTAAGGTGGTTTCCGAGGTTCCTTTTTTGTATGGAATTACTACTGATGATTTAGATTCCTTATTGTTGGTGTTGTCATTATCTTGCGCATTTTTTACATGGATGTCGTCATTATTATTATTATTATTATTATTATTATTATTATCGCTATCACTGCTATTATTATTTATTTTAATTTTATATCTCCCTACATACTTTCTGACTAATTTATCAGGGTAATTATTAAGTTTCAAAGCTTCTCCTCATATATGCCTCACTTCCTGTCTTAGATTTACTTTGGTGCTACTTAGTTTTTGTGCTCTATTATTTAAACATTTCACCAATCCTATTTTCACTGACACTTATATTAATATGACATAGATAATACATTAATATGCAGCTGAAATGTTTTCACACAGAATTTACAGCTGAACTTTGATATCTCCTTCGCAAACCTCCTTCATACTTATGTGCTTTTTTCTTTATACTTTATAGAATTTGGCAGCTACAAGAACATATCAAAATTTAGACATTACAGTATATGAAGCTTTAAATTATCGACGTGGAGTAAGTCACTTAACAGATTGATTTTTATTTT